CTTTCCCTTCCCTTCACGTTTCCCCTTTGCCTTCCCTTTTTTCAGTTACTAAATGGCCATCATGCATCTTTTTCAACATAACTGTCATGACAGTTTTAGAGTTGCCTCTTTGCTGAAGTTAACCAAAACCTCAATAATGGATCATGCAGCTCCCAGCCAGCCATTGTCACAGCCCAGGTGTAACTACAGATTAATTAGCACTTCAAATGTTTATCCTGTTAATATCTACATTTCCACATCATCTCAGAATCCTTAATAACTCCCCTCCCTCTCGCACAGAGGTATTTTCTTGGTTCAGCACACCCTGGTCTCTCTGGCACCGCCGCCAGCCAGTGTCCCGGTGCAGAGCAGGAGGTGGGCTGGAGGTGATGCCAGCTCTGCACCAGGTGGAAACAATTACAGGGAAAAAAAAGTGGTCTGCACTGGATGAGTTACCGCTGATAGCTGCCAGATAAGCTAACTTAATAAAGTGCTGGCTTAATTAAGCCACATTCCTTGCATCCCGCCTTTCGTCCTGCCTGTCTGGGGCGATGCTATCAAGCAGCTACTGATTTTTAAGATGGGGGCTTTGGGGGTGGGCTGTGCTGCTGCACTGCTGTATGTTTGGGACAGGGGGACTTGCAGGCAATGGGACGTGGAGATGTTTCTGGATAGCTCAGCTCCCCTCTCAGTCTGCAGTGTGATGGGTCACAGAAGCCTGAAACAAAGACGGACTGACTGCTTGTCTAGTCACAGATGTGTTTATTGGTATCTAAGATTTCACCTTAAATGCCATCTTCTGACATGCAGTGATCCAGGAGCACCTCAGTTTCCAGAGCAGAGGGGAGCACCTCAACATTTTGCTGCTTCTCCTGCAGCTATGTGTCAGATAAAAAGTGTGACCTTGCTTTGAGAAACTCCCTATTATTATGGGTTTTCTTAGAAGTAACAAAAAAGCCAGCTGCTGAAGCAATCAAAAATCATAGTGGCCAAAACCCTCTGTGAATTTCGGGTTGTGGATGTTCCTGAGTGAAAACTACATGAGAAACAGAAGTTGCTATATTTTTAACAGTTGAAGCACCCCATTGAAAGCTGTAACAGATAAGTCTGATGGAAGTTTCTGCTTTTGGAAACCAGATTTACAGTTAATGGATCAACTTAATTTCCCTGTAGATCCAGATTTCAGTGGCAGAGCTTCTTACACAGCTGTGTATTAGTTTGTGTGTGATGCATGCTCACATGTACAGCTGCGTAGCAACCACCTCGCTAAAAGTTATTCAGTAACTAAAATTATCAGTGGGGACCCTCTCTTACCTCTCATTATGTATAACAAGATCGCTGCTGTGCAACGTTGATTAGACATGTCAGCCTAGAGCTGGATGTCTGAAAATGAATATTGCTATTAAAATGCCTTTGCTAATGATCAACTCATGTGTCCATCATTTTGACAGATTTCTCTTTAAGAATGTAAGAAACTAAAGCATGCAGAAATCCCAGGGTTGCAATGTAATGTTCAGAGAAACGGGTATTGCCACGTTGTATTTCCTGTGCATTAACCCTAAAGTAGCAGTTTCCCTGGCAAAATCGTGGCAAAGGCCACAGTTGAGTATGGGCTGTGCTAATACAGAGATCTGTAATCTTGAAGTGGGAACCGAGTATCACGGAAAACTGGTTTCTGCAGTGTGATCCTGAAAGCACCCTTCCTCTAAACCGCTTCTTTCAGAGTGATTTAAAGCTTTTCATTACGTGGAAAAATCTTCAGGTATTTAGAGAAAACATTTCCAAAATATTTCCAAATCTCCTTACCAGTAAACCCTGGGAACATTTAAAGAAAAAAAAAAATAAAGGAGAACTGGAGAGAAGGAAATGATTTCTTGAAAACATCTCATCCCCTGTGGAACTCATTGCTGCAAGAAGCCATTGAAGAGATGGATTTCAGCAGGGTGCTGGATATCTGCCAGGGCAACATCATTTTCCAGCTGCTTTAACGGGATCAACCCTCAGTGAGGCTACACAAGGTTGTGGGTTGTGCTTGCTTCAGGGTGCCAGGGCCAGTATTTAAATACTGGCTGTACCTTCGCATGTGGTAGGTTCTCAGCATGGCTGTAGGAGAGGAGTTTGATCAGGGCAAGTGGTTTGGCTATCAGGAGAACCCTGGAAGGCACATAAACTAACAATTTAGCCACACGAAAGCAGACAAGTCCATCCAAATCCACAGCTGGCCAAATTGAGAAGAGAGAGGCAGCTCCTGCAACGTTTCCAGCAGGTGAGCCCTTACCCAGGAGCAGACTGTGCCAGCTAAGATTCACCTCTGCTGCCACAAGCCACTCCAAGGGTAGGAGTCTGAAGTGCCTTAAGCCTGAAAATCAAGTGGGAATTCCCAGGTAGAAGTGTAGAAATAACAAAAGCTGCTGCTCCCTCTTTCTGGATAGCTCTGACTGGCACAACCTCACAGGTCAGCATCTAACAGCAAGGATGCCCTCTTGTCCTTTCCCATCTCCCAGCCCTTTCTCAAGCTGTATCTTCCTCTGAAGAGCAGCTACAAGTAAGCCTTTATCAACCTCCCTTCATCCAGAGGCAGAAGGAGATGAATGTGTACTTGGAAGCCACTGGCATGGCTTGCAGCATACGAACAGCCTCCTCAATGCACCTTTGAACTCATTCCTCTCGCATTTGTTTGTCTTGCAGATAAAAATTTACAGCAGTGTTTGGAGAAAAGTCTAATGAGGGACCACTGTTTGCATAACAAAGCAGGGCTTCCTCTTCAGACGTTCAACCTTCATTAAGCATAATTTATATTCCAACTAATCTTTGGAAGAGGGTAAAATACGGAGCCAAAGTTTGTTTTTACATAGTTTGTAGTAATGCATTGTTTGTTTTAAGTGGTCAGTTGAAAATGATAGTTGATTTAAATTCAACATAATGATGATTTGTGATGGCTGCGTGTTGTCTAGAGGAGTGCTGTGTCATTGACTGCCATGGCTTTAGCACTCTTCTGCGTCAGTTACTGAATTAAAGGATAAGAGCAAATGGATGGTTTCCCAGTTTTGCAGATATTTCAACATGTCCACAAGGCATGAAAATCTGTGAATTTGTGAAATACAGGTTTGGGGGTTTTTTTCCCCTGGGACTCGTGTAGGTTTGATAAAATAGGTCACTAAATAGTAGTTTGCTTCCCTTGTAGCAGTCCTGGTAGCCACCAACATGGGACCCTTTGAAGGTCACTGGGCCCCTGCAGTGAGTAGCTCTCAGGGTGATAAGGGACACAGCTGATTGTGAAACCTCCTCAGCACTGCTGAGAGTCCTGTTGGCTTGGTGTGGTCTGCTGCCTAGAAAGCAAAGAAGCAGGCACAGATGGATTTCTAAATTTCATTACTGACCAGTGTGTAAGAAACAATTTCTTAGCACTCAGGCTTTGTTCATATCATAGGAACATAAAAAGTATCTGATCTATTGACTTTTCACTGCAGTTTTGTCCACCATGCCAAGATAAGATATTCTCCATTGCTCCAGTTGACATGCCCAATCTACTTCACTTATCACCTTCCAGGTTTATTAAAAGATGAGAAATGAATGATATTATTTATCTTGCATGTACTCCTTGTTGAGACTTACTCCTTTCTGCAAGTTTACATTTTATTGACAGATGTTTGAAAACAGCCTTCAACATATCATGAAAATTATGACCTGAGTTGTGCATACAGGCAGCACTGAGGTGTGCTGCATCCTTTCAACACAAGGCAGAAGGGTTTTCAGAAACAACTTGGGATGCTGAGTGGGTCAGTGGTGGTGTTCCCAGACCCAGGCTCCTGAGAGTGGCTAGTCATGGTGTCATTTAAAATGTCTCACGGAATGAGTGGTGGGTTTCCATGTTGTGTTCTTTAATGCTGAGATACCTCCAGCTGCAAAGCTCAGGATCCTCATCTTGGTTTATCACACCCATGATCTACCCACTACTGTTTCTAAAGGCAGCAGCAACCTTCAGAGAATGTCTTTATTTATTCATTTATTTATTTTATTGTTTTTCAGGAAAAAATGCTGTAAGGGTTATAAGTTTGTTCTTGGACAGTGCATCCCTGAAGGTATGTGATTTCACTGTTCTTACCCCTTGTGTCCCTATGCATTTGTCTTTGCCCATTTGCCCAGTTCTCCATGCTGCCAGTCTGAAAGAGCATCCTGATATAAACACAGGCTCAACTGTATCTCATATTTCAGTGGGGGAACTGTGGCCAGTAATTTGTTGGGAAAATAAAAAGATCAACCATCATCCAAAAGTTTTATTTAGCATACCAAGCCTTGATTCTCCTGGGTATATGTGGCTGCACGAATCTTGCACCATGACCTGCTGCAAACAGAGGGGCATATTCTGCTCTAGGCTAGGTATACAGGAGCACTCTGTGCACCCAGGAGAACACCTTTCCTAACTGATGGCTTTCCCCAGGTACATCTTGAGTCCAGAACAGCCAGTTTGGTTTGGAAATATGTGGGGAGTGGGTAACCAGGTGAGGTAGGCCTCCCTTTATCTGAACATTTCCTGAAGATATCAGTGAGAGGAAAGCACCACCAAATGTCTCTCTTGCACTACTCTTGCACCTGGTCATCAGCATGGCTTTCTTGTCATCAGGGGCAAAGGAACACAGAGAATTACTTGGGGTGTTCATGTAGTAGTGAAAAGGGAACAATCTCCTCCAGACAGAAGACACCTTGTTCCAAAAAGTAGGTTAAAAAGTTGGTTTGTGGTAACACATCCTTCTGTTTCATGACACATGGAAGACCTGAGAGTTTTCCCAGTTTGGGATGGAGATGTTTTGGAAGGAAAAGTGACAACATACTGGAGAGACTCAGCTGGTTTTTGAGTTACAGTCTCCAGCCAATGGGGATTATAATCCAAACTTAGAGCCTGCTGCCCTTTTTTTTTTTTTTTTTTTTAAGTTTATATCTTCTTTGCTGCTAGCTGGAAACAACAGAGCACTGATTGGGAAAAACAAAACCAAAACAAAACCAGACCAGCAACAACCTAACCTCTTCCCAAAACAGAAATTGTGCATTTACTGCTTCCTTGTGAAGAAACAGCTCGCAGTTGCACGCCTGAGCCCCGGCAAGCTGGGTAGGCTTTGAGTGAAATTGATGCTCAGAAGAGGTTCCTTGTCCCACAGTTTTGCAGTGTGTTTTGTCTTGGTGTGTGTGACACGAGATGACAGCTACAGTGCAAAACGGACACTTGGAGGAGGCAGTTGTGCTGTGTAGGTTATGCATGTAGGAGGCAGAAGCCCTGAAGACTTTTGGGGTGGAAAGAAGACAGGACTCTACAGTCTGGCCTCTAGCTTTCATATGGATTGTAATATCACATGCTTGGTATTCACTAAATATAATGGATACAATAGGAGAAGTAATAGGGGGAAAAATAAAATTAAAGCCTTGGTAATATATTATTTTAGACTTAAAATATTAATCTGTTGAGGCTTCAAGTGATTATGAAAGCAGCTTTTATTATGTACTCACTGACAATACTGTGTACGAGCTGCATCTCAATAACCTGTTTGTTTCTGCCACTGATTGAATTTCTCTGCTGGCTGTGTCTTCTCTCTCTTTGTACCTCCATTCCCCTGTTTTCAGGTTGATCTACATTTTGCCTTCAACTGCAGAAGGCACAGCAATTGCTGTAACACCTGAGATGATCTTGGGACGCTGGTCTAGGGATGAGAAAGACGATTCAGTGAAGCACTCATTTCACTTACTCTGCTACAGTACAACACTTGACTGTTCAAACATTTTTTTGACATAATCATGACACACTAGCTGTATGAAATGCACATCTCAACACGGGCACATAAATGCACAGATGAGAGTTTATTAGAGCACATCTGCACCTTTTAGTCCTGTACTGGCAAGTCAAACCTGTGAGAAGTAGTTCCAGCCCTGTCTTCTCCATGATTTAGCAGTGGCGGCAGGGAGGACAGCTGGGAGAGGGACAGACCCTCCCTTGTCCACCCTCTTACAGCTTCTGCAGGAAGACATTGATCTCCTTCATGGGCTGCTGTTACTTAACAG